CGGCTGGCGCTTATTTCAGGGTTCTTATTGACAAAACCACTCAACTCTTGGTGGCTCTTAATGGAGGGTCAAATGTAACAAATTTTCACTGAGTGGCTCTTAATTGAGGGTGGCGCTTATTTGCGGGTTTTTACGGTAGCTCATACCCCACTAGTGACTTAATTTAAGCAATACTGGTCTTGATCCAACTGACCTTAATTAAAATTAATATTGAGATGGTCATCTGTCTTTCAGCCTTGAGTTGATACTGGTATGATTTGAATTATCAAGATCTTATATAGCCTAGTCTGAGTCACTCAAAAACAAATTCTTTCTTTGTGTATTTACAAATATCTTTGGTTCTGCAGGTTTAACAATTTTGACATTATATTTGAATGTGTCTTTGTAGGTGTTAAACTGCAGCATCTTACAAAAGAAGATATTCTACAACAAATGCAACCATTAGGAAGTCCATTTACTGAACACAACAGGTAGGCAGTGAGTGGTGAAATAATTACCGTATTTGATCTGTTAGAAGCAGAACATAAATGGATGGGTTTGTGTCTCAATTGGATATGCACTTCTAAATCTTGGGGTGGACATCCTAACATTTCCACTGCGTGGCAACGAAGCAGTGAAAACAACAGTCAAAAACTCTCAGAAAATTATACTTTGAGCTAGATGTTGAGACTCTCCTGAACAGTGTAACAAGATTATCCCTACATGTGCAACATATATCAATTCAGTTGTTCAGGATTACCTCATAGTTGAGTTTGTGCTCAACTTTCTTGGTTTCACCAGCTCTTCGACAATTGTTCTGCAGCAGCTCGCACTGAGCCCATGAAATAAATGATACAGTGGTGTGTGTCTGAGCAACATAGAATGTGTTGCCTGTGCTGCTGATTTTTTGTAAATATATAAATAGATAGGGAAAATTCGGATTTAAGTATGAACCTCATTGCATCATTGACAACATATTGCAACATCAAACATAGTGGAATTTGAAACTGTTGTTTATCACTTCTGTACTTTAAAGTGATAAAATTGATTATTTGTGAGACCATGATGTGAATCAGTTATCTTCTCATTCCTATGGTTAGGTATGTCAATGTATGTATTAGTAGATGACTGGTGACCTACCAACGTGAGAGTCAGGTGATGGTTTGTTGCTTAGCAACTCTGATGTGTAATTGTAATCAGTGAATGGAGTAAGGACAGAGCCATTTCTTTCCATACAAGGATTATAAAATTATACTTATTTATGTATATTTAGTTACTGCCCTCTTCATTGGCTAGACTTTTTAGGCAGTTACGAGGAAATGTGAAATAGAATTACTATTTCTGTCCTAATAAGTGTCACTAATAATTGTATATCTGTATTTTTCAGTTTTTCTACTAAACTCAAAACTTTTAGTAAGTGGACTCTGGGGGTCATAGCTGTTGGAGTTTCCAGTGGTCTTTCTGTAGCAGTGTTTTTCCTACAGTTTTTGGAATGGTGGTACACAAATGAAAGTCACAGAAATAGCATGGCACTGACTGCCTTACCTGTACCAAGCCCACCACATGTTAGTACATATCTTTAAATTTCCATGATACTCATTTTAATTTGATGTAACATCCTCCAGCGTGTAGTGTGGGTGGAAGATATAGTGGTTACCAGCATCTTCAAGTCGGTTCGTACATACATAATAAGTCCTATCAGGAGCACCAATAGACATTGACACAGGGTTTTATTGAAGACATTAGCCATTCGCAAAGTGTTATAATTAAGCCATTGCATGAGACCTCATTCAAAATGCATAAATACCATATCTCAAGCACTAATACAGATACAGACATTCAACCAGTGCTTTATTGAAAACATTGGGCACAAGATCTGAACAACATATTCAATGAGCATATATGGTCATGTGACTTCATTAAATGCATAAATATCATATTTTAAGCACTATTACAGATAGAGACATTCAACCAGTGCTTTATTGTCAATGAACACATTGCACAGAAGATTTTATCAACACATTTAATAACCATATATGGTCATGTAACATTAAAAATGCTAGAATATCATCTGGAGTACTATTCAACCAGTGCTTGTAAAAAAGATTCAGGATCACCACTTGTGATGGCTTTCTTGTTTTTTATTTCAGAATAAAACTCAACTAGATTCTCTTCCACCAGACACTTTAGTGTGTCCTTTATGTCACAGAAGACGGACTAATGACACAACATTGTCAACGTCTGGGTGAGTAGTATCCATCATGTGCAAGAGAATTTGCCGAGATACAAATGTTTTTGTAGCTTAACTAGGGTAAAATGATAGATTCTGCAACTGTATGCCAATGATGAACTCAAATTGCATTTATGTTTTGGAGGTGCAGAAAAGTAAACTCATTATTTAAAACTGAAGTCATATCTATAAAACAAAGATAATGTTTAATATTGGATTAAAATTTCAGCTTTTTTGCTTTGGTTATGTTTTATGAATATTTGCTTATTTTTATTTGTTTCCAGGTATGTGTTTTGTTACCCTTGTATATATACCTATGTACAGTCTCATAAGTGCTGTCCTATTACAAGATATCCATCCAAGACGAACCACCTTATAAAACTTTACCTTCCCACATCATAACACTACATGCATACTTGACCAGCTTTTGTTTTAATAAATTCATTTATTCTCAGTAACAACTATCAAGGATTTATTGAATCAGAATAATTTCCCAATTCATTTTTGCTCTAGCAATAAAGCGAAGGACTTGTTTTAGCCCCACAAATCAGTGCAGATGCTTATCCAAATTCTATGGTTACATAGTTCAGTGAACCCGCTGATGGTTGAGAATGGCACACTATTTAGGGGTATAATTAAGTCTTGTGGCTCTCGCTCCCAACAAGATCCTGTAGCCATTTGCAGATATGGTTAAATGGCAGCTGACAAAATAGAATCTAATTTGCAGAAATACTCAAGCTGGAATCGGCTCATGGCAAAAATGTTTTAATCGAAAATCTGCATCAAGCAATACATACACACTGGAATTTATATCAACACAACCCCTCAATATATTACTATGTGAAAGCTGTGTTGGTTTACTTGATATAAATATATATAAAATTTATTTCTTAATATTTCAAGTTCCAATCTTTATGTTCATGAGCATTGTAACAAATAAATAAATCAATTCAACCAATAATCATACTGTGTATGCATTTTTGAAAACTTAGTATATGTATGAAATTATTGCAATCTAGTGGTAGTAGTATTATCCAAATCGAAACTGGATTTTCGTATACAGTAGATTTTGCAATATGTAGATACTAGTGAGCATGTATTTTGTTTTTTAATATGTTAATAACATTTATCATTGATTACCTTTGTCATTCTGTCTGGGGTAGAGTTCGCAAAACATCTAAATATAAATAGCACACGTTACAAGATCAAATTCTATAAAAGTAATTCAATTTTACCTGAAAGAATCCCAAATAAATCCATTGTGTTTGCACAGTCATATTTTTAGCAGATTTTGTCTGAAGCTGGCACAGAGGCAAGGTATGTACTATATTATTATTTGAATTGGTCCGAAAGTCTTGCTGGTTTTCATTGACATGTCTTATATTTCATATACCGGTAATCTTGGTAACAGAACCATAGGTAATAGGTTATTACTAGTGCACATATTTTGAGCCTAACTCTTCAAATTTAATGTTTAATGGTGGCAACAACGTAATGGACTAAATGTGCACCTTGCCATTGTTACTTTTTATTTTTTTATGAAATTATGCTTTAACACAAATTCTTAACATAAACATGGTAATTTATGCGAAGCTTATTAGAAACGATAATCTTTTTACTGACACTCCTGAATGTACGGAGATATGTGTGGTTGAATGCATGTAATCAAAATAGTGCTATTGATTTACTTAGGACAAGGGTTACTAAATACTGCCTGTTATATATCATAATATTGTGGATTCGTTAGTTCGTGTTCTACTACATATTGTCATCTAGACGAGATTGTCTACAAATGATGTGTTTAATTGTGAAGAAATTGTAAACAATATTGTCATATGATTTTGAGTTACAGGTGAACTTTAGTGGACGTTTAATGTTTAAATTTACTATCATAAAGGACCTCACAAAGTGACTAAATAACAGTTCAGATGTAGAATATGGGCGTTCAAGAAAAATATAATTCAACATCACAAAAAAGTGTTAGACATTACTTGTATATGTTACACAATCTAAACAATAGTCCTGAGATTTTGAAAACTTATTTTTTTATTTTTTTTGTTTGTTATTTAGATGAACCAGTCTTCAGACTTCAAACAAGTCTTCTCCATCATTGATGTCATTAGCGTCGCAGTAGAAGTAAAACCCGTAAAACATGCTAAATATTGCTGCTAAATTTTCAACACAATTGAACTTTTAACTAATAAGTCAAACTTAATATATTTTGGTCTCGGTATAGTAAAATAAAATAAAATATAATTGAATGTCAGTGCATAAACACTCATCTGGCTTGGCTCTGGACCGAGGATCTTGCAAATTCAAATGATATAGATACCTAAACCATCCACGAACTGTGAATGAATAACTTGAAAACAATTAGCGACGAAAAAAGAACTATATCATTTTAAGAGCCAATTAGTAAAATGACACACGAGACCACGGTGTCCAGTCTTTATAATGAGATTACAATAACAAGTTCCAATCTACTTTGAAATATCCATTTAACCAACAAGAAAACAATTAACGGAACACTGATGGAGATGCTCAGACAGACTTTGTTATGATTATTTATACAAAGCATGTAGAATATACAAATCATATCATTAGAGTGTCGAATTAGGACAATACATGGTAGATACAGAGTAATATTACAAAAATAATTAGAATTTAACTAATATGACATTTTTACCAACAAAGAGTATAAAAGATGAAACAAATATTATAAATAAATCGGATAATAAATTAATTAGTGTGTACAAACACTATAGTCAGATATGATATGATCACAACAGCATAATACACACGAATCTCCGTATCATTGGATGGTAAATTCAGTGGCAATCACTTCTGTAATTGTCCTTTGACCCCAGCGTGTGTAATTGATCTGTAGTATAGTATTTATTTATTTACCCAGTTCACTGACCCTAAAAAGTTAAATATTAAAATCTCTATAGTTCTGAAAATATCTAGGTGACAATAATAAAGCGATAAGTGATATTGTTAGTCTTGACTGAAATCAGTACTACCAAACAAACTTGGTGACCCCAGCCCCTTTGAACATACTAAACTGTCTAGTCCCTACTACGTCATCTGTCACTTTTGACATTTGAGAACACATATACGTATGTTAAAACCTGTGCATACCTAATTTACCCAACATAGACCCAGAGAGTATAATTCATTGACGTTATCATCAATTTAATATCCGAAACTATACACTATGCCTGGCTTAGTATATTTGTTAAACTGTTTTGATTTGTTACATGTCACGTTTCTTGCACAAAAATAAACTTGTTTGAATATATTACACATATATGGGAACACTTGACTGAAGCTACCAAGCATTAGCAGGAGAAAGTGAATACTAGAAGACACTAGTAACAACCATATCATATACCCCTCCATCAAATGATTACTACTTACGTATAATATATTCATTTGATTGGATAGAAATTATAAGCAATTATAACCAAGTTATGCATTCACAAAAAAACAAAATATGGTGCACACTATATTAATATTATTGCTAAACCTTAAACAATCATATACTGTAAACAACCACCTGTCATACGAAAATATAAATAACGTCATGTATATTCAATTTTTATTATTCATATATACTATTCTCAAGCAAGGTTACATAAAAATGGTCGCATTTAACTATTATCATGGAGATTCCAAATATTTTAATTATGTTCAAAATATTTCCTCATTCAAGTGTAGATATATTTCAATAATTTGAAATGTAAGTTAATTATTCAATGATGTCAATGTATTACACTGTAGTACTTGTGTAGCTTACTGTAAAATGACTAATTTTCACTAGGTTTAAATTTCACTGATTTGCCATTTCAGGCATATTCTTTGGGTTTTAAATTCACGGTTTTATCATTTAGATTATGTGTTCTATGCTAAATTTTACATATTCACTGGGTTTTAATTTAGCGCATTTTCCAGTCAGCGAAATAAGTAAAATTAAAACCCAGTGAATAATTAACCCCTTTACAGTATATACAATCTAATTAGTATTATTGCACAGTATATTGTTTTCAAATAATTGATGATTTATCGAGAGTATCTGCTGACAAATAATGGGAATGTATCGCAGCTAGTTATGATTTAAATATATGACACCTCACATCGATTTAACATTAGATTCAATTAATCGCGTGAAGGGACAAAGTGTTCAGTGTAACTGTTTTCCGGATGAAAAATACAGCGTCTATAGCAAGTTAAATATCATGAGGATGATATACTTGTATGTAAGTGGAAGCATTAAATAATATCGTTGTACATTTCTGCTACTTCTACTTTTACTAATCATGCTTGATTGATAAAGCTGTATACCTACCTGTTAGTTATTAGTACAATTGCATTTTTGAAATTAGGGTTGTTCTTGTAACTAATAAACAGATTAGAAATTATTAGCTAGTGATAGCCGTTAGTAAAGACCGGCACACCATTTAAAGGGTATTATTATTTTAATCAAATCAGCAACCACATTAGCATTGATTATGATGATGAAAATATAATTAAACAATATCCTAATAATATATCTGTATAAAGTTCCACAGAATTTGGACTACGTCACATACAAAATACAAGTGAAAACACAGTAGCTATGGCAGTAGCATAAGTGTTCCAATCTATATTGTCTATATTGTACATATGTGTTACCCCTCCCCCCCAAAAAAAAACATTTCAGGAATTGTTTTATAACAGGGTATCAAATTATATCCTATTTCACCTCAATATACATGTACATACATGGAATACGATTCCATACTACCATCTCAATATAAATGTAATATTTTTATGGGGAAATTAAAAACCCATTTTGAAGGTTATGTACCCAGCTTGATTTCTTAGGATTTATTTATTGATTATTTTTTGTCCAGGATGTTCATCATTTAAAAATATAGATCTATGTCATTGAGATATAGAAATAAGGAGATTGCATTGTGGCGTTATTTTTTGAATAAAAAATAATTATGGTTGATGTTTGCATTGGTCTCTATGGAGATAGTAGTAGGCATTGTCATATAATTTATTTCACTACACTAAAAAAATAACATACAACAATAAAAAATTGATAAATAGTACTGACTAATTTGAATGTCCATCATGGTCCAAACATATAGTCTGTGAGGTTGTGGAACCCTTATGCATTTTTGGGCATAATCTTAGTAATTTTCAGGAAATATTCATTTTATATCAGGGAATTCCAAAACATTGTTGCCATTTTGAATTTCAAAATGGCCGTCATTCATAATACATTGGTAATGGTATATCAAGATTCATTTTGCCTAGAAGATTCATTCTTATGGCTATGAAAAGAATAACTCCTACTTTTATTTTAGAAACCATGAACAAACGAAAATAACTACTATTTTGAATGTTAATGGATGGTACTCCCAATTTCCAGAAGAAATTGAAGTGAAGAACTAGATCCTGCTCCCATACAAAAGCTTGGCAATGAGCTTGATGAATATGTTCTCTCCAGGCCCCAAGTGTTGGTGGTAGTAGGTCAATCCCCTTTGCAGTACCCTGTTGCTCGAACAAATTCCACCTGAGTACATGTGGTTGCACAATATTAGTATTTTTCTTATGAAAGGAACTACACAGATGTGATAAACAACCATTAATAGTATCATTAGAGGGCTAATCTTTTATTCCCAAACTAGATATCGTCTTGGAGGCTGCTTCTAGGAAAGCCTCAAGACACGTTTTCTTTGATTTTCCTTTGATGTGACCAGTAGTGTCACAACTTGTTAGTGCATGCCATGTTCATAAGACACTAGCTTTTTCTGCTCCAAGCGTATTGAAATTTGTATATTGGCTGTAACAGGACATGTCTGCATCTGTCACCTGTGCCCATCAACATGATCACCTTTTTACCAAGTAATGGTGTACGCTACAG